TTGAATTACTTTCTATATTATCTAATCATATATATGCCATATTTATGCAGCATATTAGTACTATAGTTGTCCCATTGACCAGAGATATACAGAGTTTATTCGAAATAATAATCAGAGAAAACACAAAAAACTATAACTGATATAAATCATCAAGTCATGAACTATCATAAGATTATTTGCACTTGACTTCAACTATCGTTTCAACTTCAAGTGTCACATTCAATGATAAGGATGCCATTCCAGCCACGGTACGTGCATGTGTGCCAACTTCTGTACCGAATACATTGACCAAAAAGGCAGAACATCCATCAACAATAACAGTATGATTAATAAAATCAGGTTGTGTTTGAATCTTGCCACTAATGTACACTATTTTTTTTACTCGATTCAAATCACCTAACGCAGCTTTCATTCTGTTAACTTGACGAACACATGCAAACTTGGCAGCAGTTATGGCATCATCAACATCGACTTCGTCTGGTACACGTCCCTTGACGAATGTACCAGCTGGAGTTTGTGGTGCAGCACTAGAAAGATACAAGAGCTTGCCAACTTGAACAGAATCTACATAGTTGCCGAATGCAGGTACAAGCACGGGTAGTGTTCCATTAGGAAAGCCCAGTGCCAAAAGTTGAGCTTTTAACCGATCATCAATATCACTTGCTGAAGCTACATGGATACTGATAACAAACAAAAATAATACAGCACTCCAAAGACGAAACATTGAATTGAAGCGAATAGATTGCATGATTTGTGTTCGAGTATGATCTATGAATGAGAGAAAGTACGTTACGAACGCATTTAATTTATAGTGTACTATTGTTCCTATTGAATTTACTTAAAAACTAATTCAACGTACATTAAAAAAAACATTAACGTGACACCAGATGTGAAATACGAGGGAACAATATATTGAATAGAATACAAATACGAAATAGAACCCAGTAATGGTCACTTTAGGCTTTGTCTTTAACTACGTAGAAAATACTAATTATTTTGAATCACCATTTCTTTTCAACAATACAAAGAAATGGTTGACAAGCTGCTATACTCATCTAATTGAAAAATATACGTACTCATCAACTCCAGTTGCCACTAAATCTTGATTATCATTATAGTTAGTACCAGCTGACGGTTCACGCTAAGTCACGTGATATGAAAATGCGTATGATTTAATAAGTGATAATCAAAGATGAAACTATAATGTATTACATTAAGAATATTACATTCACTTTTCTCGTAAGTGTAGTGTTTTTAAACTTATTTGTTACCACTTTTTTGCCAACCAGAGACAAACGAACAAATAAATTCTGGAAATCTACATGATCTATTTATTGAGTAAATTTAAAACAATTTATTTATTAAAAAATTAAATACGGCGCTCTTTATAACACGCATAACCATGGATACCATCACAGAAGTAATAAATATACTTGGTAATCAGTTGTTTGTTATAGAGTTAATTAATCATAAATAATTATTATTGATTAAAAAAACACATCATAACAATATGTTTTTGTTTACGATGTGCACCTTGAAGATGTATTCGTATTTTTACTCATTCATACCTTGGATTACATCAAGGTCAGTTCTGGACAATCTTAATATGTAGAACTGATCGAAATTGATCATAACTAACATTAATGATATGGTTGTAAATGATACAGTTTCATTAATTACTGTTTATATGTTATTTTTATACACCTTCATACTGATAGTCTTAGTTTAATTTAATTTTAATAAGGCAATCAACTGACACATGTGAATGAAGACATTGATTTTATAAATTAATTGTTTATAATGAACTCAATATATTATTAAATAAAAAATAAACGACTATCAATATACCTACGCTATAGGCACTGAAGTTTTTAAAGTTAAGATTACTTCTTTCTAAGATCCTATTGATAGAATTGAATAAACGATTATTTCATCGAGACGATATTAGCATTCAATCGTTTCTGACGATAATCAACATTACAAAGTATAAAAAATTTTTATCCATCTTGCACAATACAATGATATAGATTTATTTTGTTTCATTCTCAAATGAAAATGTCTCTTTATTGATATATGGAATTTAATATTCTAGTAAATTCTTTTAAATCTATTATATGTAAAAGATATTTAATTAAACGATGATTAATATTCAAGGCTAGAGATGTAAGAGCGAGAAAGTTGAAAATGAAAAGCGAAGGACTCGGACAACGGTAAAAATAAATAAGAAAATTTAATTTTGTTTATAAGGTCATTCAATAATAGATTTTATCAAAGAATATTCAATTGAATCAATGGTATGCCTCATCAATTTTCGATTTCTTTTCTCACTCTTCTATAGCTATAATAGCGTAAAAGAAAAAAATTCTCGTCCGATAATATAATAAAAATTTCACCATTTATTTATAAAAACTGTATAGTTCACCTTGAGAATATATCGAATGGACTAGAGTTATGCTTGATTAATTTTCTTTTTTTCTTATTCTATGTTTAGATGTATGAGGAAAAAAGAGTAGAAAACCGTACGTATAAATATATTATTAAAATGCATTCATTCATTTATTTATTCATATACATTCATTTTATTCATTTAATTATATACAAATATGTGGACAAATGGTTATAAAGCTTATGGATATACACCTCAACGAGATATGCAAACAAACAATTGGTTTAATCAAAGTATGATGGGTTTAAGCAGTAAGTTATTAGTCAATGTCGATGAAACGTTATCGATATTAATTTTTTATGATTTTCGTCTAGATCCATACGGTGGTATGCGCTTCGACAATTATATGGGCATGGGTATGGGCATGGGCATGGGTATGGGTATGGGTGCGACTACAAATTCATTGGCTAGTCAAATGTATGGAAATTCCTATCAACCATATAGTGGTCTCGGTTATCAATTTAAAGGATGGTAATGATATTCTCTCAAAGCAATCAATAGTATCAATATAAACTAGTTTTTTCTCTCTTTCTGTTTTTTGTTAATTTTCATTATCTAAAAAAAATTGCAGCTGACTAAAGTATGCACAATAAATTATTACTATTACGAGAGCATTTCTATTCGTTATTATCAGTTTAGCTACAAGTTGAAGTAGGATGTGAATTTATTTTCAAAAATCTATTGAAAATCATATTCTCGAACATACGCTAACAAAAATCAAAGAACTATTGATTGATTAATTATTATATGTAATCTATAATGGTCTTGTCATTTTCATGATCATACTTGCTTTCTGAAATGTCAGTTGTTGGAAATACTAATCAGATATCTACCTCGGATGACTTCTGAATGACAATATAAAATAGAAAAGTATAAATCTTCTAACCTGACAATGATTTTATTAATTATTTATGGATATTTTTCAATAGAATATTGTCATGTTTCTTATAGTACATCAGCTTGGTTAGCATCCATATGCTCAAAAATACCAGATTAAGATTTAGAAAGATTATTGCATTTCTAATTTTCTCTGAAGATATTAAAATAAATACATTCGTCGATGTAGTTCAACGAAACAATTTTTTGTGTAGTGCAAATCTTTATTATTTTAATAATTTCTTTTGAATAGAACTGTGAACAATAAAATATTATTAAGCACCTACAAGTTTGTGTTGCAAATTAACATGACAATGAAATTCGTCCAATGTATACTTGATATCTAAATTGCAACATTGCACTTGAATATCAATGTCGTTAGCATGTTTTGCCTTCAAGTGACTGATAAATCCAGAAGGCTTGAAGTAGCGGCGAGCGCAATTCGGAAAATGGCATTGATTTGTTTTACCAGCTGATATTGTTTTTGATGCCGAATCCGTAGTCAGGTAAATTTTGGACAATTTATTTGCAGCTAAGCAACAAACTATACCTTGGTCATCAATAAAGGGTTGTTTTTTTGCTTTTTGATGACGTTTAAATTTCTTAGTAGTAACGCATGTAAATGAACAGGCACAAGTGAGTGAAGTATTTATCTTATGTTTCTGTTTCTTGTGCTGCCACAGTACCAGCTTATCCTTAAATGTCTTTGAACATTGCGAACAGCTCGCTTCAATTGTATCTATAGGTTGACGTACTGATGCAAGTTTTAGCAATGGATCTACCAGCTTGGGATCTACACAACGATGCTGTTCATTTCGCTTACGACATTGTGAAAATAATTCATTTAAAACTTGAGTGGAAGGAAATTGAATTTCTTCCCCAGCAATTTTTTCTTGACTATAATCGTCAATAACACTCTTAATAACTTCTTTGTAAATATTATCGTTGCCATGAACGAGAAGAATGAATTGAAACTTCTCAACAAGCTTGCCTAAAAAATAAATGAGTTTACCATCAGCGGAATTCTTAGAATTTATAAAGTGCGATGGACACAAGTGAATTTGTGGAATTCCAGATAGTTGTTTATAGAGACCGTCTGTTACTGTTGGATCGTGTTTGTTCCAAAATAAGTAAAATTCACAATTTGGTGGTAGTTGACAAAAAATTGTCGTATCATTGAATAAACTTCCACGTCCACCATCACAGTCGACGAGAATGAGTTGCTTGTAGCTAGACATTAAATACGCGTTTATCGTCAGTTGTTATGATGAAAAAATGAATGATAAGAAAAAGAATTTTTTATAGTAGAAGTAAATGTGTAATATGATAGGTTTAAAATTTGCATTTATGGTCTCGAGAGGAACCGCAAAAAAAGATGAATTAACTTTTTTTTTAAGTTAGGTGTTAGTCTAAATAACCTTTTGAGAGAAAAAATAACTTTTAACAGGCATATGTTGACGCAAACTTTTCGTTGTAAAGGTGAAAAATAAATTCATTAACGTGAGACGAACTCAACACTGTTTTTTGGATGAAAAATGAGTACTGACGAGTATGTGGCGAATAGATTGAAATAAGAATATAATATCCACACTTATCTAGACTCATAGAAAAAGTATCATGTGTTTATTATAAATTCGTCAACTGCTATGGAAGCATCGAACAGATTTTGTTCTATCAGTCAGGAATGAAATAAAAAATACGAATGCGAAGGCAAAATGAAACATAAGTTTAATATTTTGCATTGTTTTTGGTATCGTATTGATTTTCTATCACGAGTTATTTTACAAGTAAAAATAATTGAATAAAACAGTTGCGCAAAGCTGCTTTTCTAAAATACCATCATTGTTTTCCCACATTCACACTCACATCGATGATATGGAAGGAAAATAGCATTGATTAAATTAATTATATAATATTTAATAAAATAAGAATGGTTGATTTATAATAAATATTGTAAGAAAAAAGTAAAATTTATTCTTATCAATTATTGTCACAAAAATAATTATTATCAAAATACATGTGATCTTAGATTGAATTTTGAGTACAATCAATTAATTTTAAAATAAGCTTCAATTAATGGATACAGAAGTATGTGTATATATATCCTTTTGCTTTTAAATATCATTTTACATTCTAATCTTTTTTATTATTATTGCCAATATAAAAATAAAAATATTCCGATGATAAAATAAGATTCAGTAGTCGTTATCGTATGATGAAAGTTAGTTATTTTATTCTTTTGTTGATTTTGTTAACGACATATACGGTGATCGATGCTTTCGATAGAGGTGATATTATTTTACAACACAATTTTGATGGACCCGATGAAGAAGCAATCTGGAAGAAATTTCTTAATCCTTTAATACAATTAGTGACAACAGATAGAGGTGATCAAGCATTGCGCATTGAAAGAAATCTTCCAAATAGTCCATCAACATCTATTTCGATTCCTTTACCAGCACTTGCATTATGTGGTTATAAGATTCGAATTCAAGCAAATATCAAAGCAGCAAATATTAGTATACCACCAAATTCATGGAATGGTATTAAAATAATGCTTCATACAAAAGGATTAAGTGGTGATAATTATCCACAACAAAATCTTCCACGAAGTACATTTGATTGGCGTACGGCTGATTATATAGCGAGTATTCCTCGTGATACACAACAAGCAAATCTTGTACTCGGTTTGGAAGCTGTAACTGGTACTGTTTGGTTCGATGATGTTAAAGTAATTGTCTATAGCAAATTACGTCCACCTCCACCTTCACCACCACCTGGTCTACCTTTCAAAGGTCATAATCTAACACGATTACGAGGAGCTATGATTGGTACAAATCTCAAGGAACAAGATTTTCGAGATTTTGGTAGTTGGAATGCAAATCATATACGTTGGCAATTGATGTGGAATGGATTTCCTCATAGTCCAGCTGATAATGGTGATATTTCAGCTTATGAAATATGGCTTGAAAGTGCACTTAAACATCTTGATTCAATGTTACCAGTATGTCGTGAATTAGGCATGCATATATTGATTGATTTACATACACCTCCAGGGGGTCGCAATGATGAAAAAGAATGTAATTTATTTAAAGAAAAACGTTTTCAAGATACATTTATATCATTATGGGAGAAAATTGCACGACGTTATAAAAATGAATCAATTATTTGGGGTTATGATTTAGTTAATGAGCCAGTTGAAGGAATAGTTCCTGATGATGTCATGGATTGGCAACAATTAGCTACAGTTACTATCGAACATATCCGTGCTATTGATTCAGAACATGCAATTATTATTGAAGCAGCACCTTGGGGAGGTCCAGGCGCTCTAGCTGATTTTGAACCATTACCTTTCAGTAAAATTGTTTATTCATTTCATATGTATGAACCTGGTACATTTACTCATCAGAGTGTGTATGATGATATTCCTCCTGTACCATATCCTGGTATTATCGATGGGAAGATGTGGAATAAAGATCAATTACGTGTTAACATGAAACGTGTTCTTGATTGGCAACATGATTATAATGTTCATATTTATGTTGGTGAATTTTCAGCTATTCGTTGGGCACCGGGAAATAGTGCGTATGCTTATTTACGTGATGTCATTGATATTTTTGAAGAAAATAATTGGGATTGGGCTTATCATGCATTTCGTGAATGGCCAGGTTGGAGTGTAGAACATATTGGTGACAAAGATAACACTCAATATTCTCCCATTCCAACGGATCGACAAAATCTCCTCATGAATTGGTTCACACAAAATGAACATTAAAAATTCTACATATTCTACTTTTGAATATATTTATTTAACTTTGTTTTTTGAACAGAAATAAATATTCAATTACTAAGATCACAAAAGTTTATTCATAATTTAAAAGGCAGAATTGATCTAATTTTTAAATGTATACTTAGAATATTATGCATATCTGTTTAAATATATGAAATGATATAAACAAAAAAAATTTATAAGAAATAAAAAATTTATTTAGGTACAGTAAAAAATCCAGTTTTTTGAAAAAGATTATCAAACTCTTTTCACTCAGGGTTTGCAAAAGACAATTTCTTGTTTCGATTATGAATATTTTTCAAAATGATGCATTTGCCCCATTCATTAAAATGAATTTGACAATATCATATTATAACAGTACACTACTTCCTTATATGTGTTGATATACTTGTTTATGATACGAATTGGACATCAGCGTGACTCACGGTAATGATTACGATCACTGCCAACATATGAAAAAGAACTGTGAATGGGTATGGATGATGGTTGACAAATTACAGGACCATGTATATTTTACATGGAAGGCATTTTCTTTTACATTAATAGTATGAGTCATATTTACGTCGCCAAAACAGTTTGAATTTTTTCATACACCTATACAAAGTAAATAATAATGCAGATTATATGACCATTCATATGCAAATCAGTCTATGCTACTTAACTTACACTTGACTGGCTCAATGAGTAATATTTCTATGAGTCATCAAAAATACGATGAAGGGTCGTGGAATACATGAAATATAAACATTACAATCATATAAGATCAAAAATTTGCTTGTAAATTTCTTTAAATTCAATGAATACATCTTATTATAGTGAATCTCTTGATATAATTTTCAACCTATCTCATTTGATATTAACTGTAAACAACACAGAATTCTCATATTTAATTCGTAAGATTAGTCACTCTAATAACATATACAGTCAAAGCGACCTGAGTAAGCAATAGGATTTTTTCCAATAAATGAATGAATCATAATAGTCGCAGGTGGTAAAAATACAAGTATAGTTTAACGAACTTGTTCTCTTCTCTCTGTGTATATAAAAGCGAGAATCAATACGAAATATAAAATACAACTTTATTCTCTTTTAATAGTTACGTGTGCTGATCAACCAGTGAAAAAATGCCAAGTGGTGTGCTTGATGTAGCTATTCTTGAAGGACGTAGTCTTAAGAATTGCGATTTTATTGGTCAAAATGATGCATATGTTGAAGTTTATATGAGCAAAAAATACAAACAACGTACAAGAACAATTAAAAATTCGAATAATCCAACATGGAATGAAGAACTTAGATTTAATATTCATAAAGGTGATGATACAATTCATTTTGATGTCTATGATGATGATCTCATTGGTAGAGATACAATTGGAAAATGTTCAATTAAATTAAAAAAAGTATTCGAAGAAGGTGAATTTGATGAATGGATTAAATTACCTTCTCTTCTTGGAATACGTTTCCGTGGTGAAATTCATGTTGTTATGAACTTTACAGTAAGTCACCGCTAAATTGATGTTTTCATATATTCTAATTTGTTTTTTTTCTTTGAAATATTGTAGCCATCGGAATAGCAACGATAATTAATCCCGACTAGAAAACAAATACAATTGCATTGTCTAGTTCCGATCCGAATTATTTTTTTATACCAAATGACATGATTTTATTTTGTATGCCTTTACTTGAATAAATACAATTTTCTTTTTTTCTATATTTGATTTAATTTCTGATAAATATGAATGTAAGAATATAGATATTATACAGTTGTTATGCGAATGGTAGTAGAGTAATATATTTGAATTGTAGTTGAGCACTTCAATTAATCATTAAAATAAAAATAATAGTAGTGACTTTAAATATAAATTAATGTAATTAGAGTGAGTATAATTTATTTACTTTCACACATGCATTCACAATCCTCGTTAGTCTTGATCAACATATAAAGTGTTAAGCCTCCAAAAAATTTATTAGAATAAAAACGATGCCGTTCTTTTATGTTTTAAATATTAGTAATTTTATGATATTAGTCATATTAATGTCTATTATATGGTGTGTTTCTATTTATGACTCTCTTCTCTCCAGAAACAAAATCAAGTTTTGTTAGAATGGTCGAAATTAAAATAAATCCATAAAGAAATAGCCTACCATTTACCTTTTTATAAACGATAAGAATTTTCAGGATTTTTGACAGTCCCTATTCAAAAAATCTTTTTCGATCTCTCGATCCGAATTTTTCTATCTAGGCTCGTACTATATATTTAATTTTTTTTTTATTTGGAAGAGCATGTTAAACTGTAGTGTAGTATAGAAAGAATTGTTTTTTTTTTAAATTAAACTTTTTAATTTATTATATATATAGATATTAATATCGTGAAGATTTCATGCCATTGGAATTTACGTTGACTGAAATTAGTATTTTAGGAGAAGGGAAGGGACCTTAAATTATAATATTATTATCATCATTTAGTTTCATCTATTCAATATTAGAATTATTTTCGATTTTCACAACTTTGTATTTTTCTGCTATCATGTATATCATAATATTTGATTGTCTATTAGAGCTTATATATGTTATAATGCCCATGTAAGCACGAAACGCAAAATCGATGCGTTGAAACGTGTTTATTTCTTGTTGAATTAGGTGCAATTTTACCTCAATAGGTGCTGCTCTAGAAGAATTAATTGCCTGATCGAAATCATCCACTTACATATATTTTATTAATCTAAAGTTTATTAGATTTTTTGATAAAGAATATCCAGATGATACGAAAATACGCAAAAATTAATTGAACATACGACAAATAATCTGTATTTTCCTAAAATGTGCACGAATAATAATTAAACAGTATTGTAATAGTTTTCAGCTATTTAATATTCTTTTAGTAAACTACTAAGTACTTCTATTTAAGTAATATGATTAATAATTTTTCATCATCTATTTCTACTGAAAAGATTGTATGAATAATTATTTGTCGTGTTACCAGTGCAGTAGAAAAAAAATTTTAATATTAATTACATGTAGTAGATGATAAAGAAAAGATATTATTTTATTAAAAAATAATAAAATAGTTTTAAAAAAAATAAGTGAAAAATCATGTTATGTGTTAAATATCTGAACTTCAAAAAATGACACCTTATTGAAATAAAGTATTTTTATCGATGCAACTTGTATTCAGATATAGTTTTATTTTGTATGAGAAAGGATTTCAAGCCAGTTATTGAGAAATTCGACTCTCTCGAACTATAAAAATACATTAAGATATATTAAATAATTTGAAGAGCAAAGGATTGCAAGCTGGAAAAAGAAAAATATATGTGAGATGAGCTAAATGTGTTTTATGGTTATCAAAATAAACTCCTAATTCTTTATCATCATTAGACATTATAACAAAAGAGCAGAGACATATGAATTTATTATTTTATAGAAAATAAAAGTTGTATATGATAATTAATGAACCATGTAGGATTTAGATAAAAAAATTCATTCTATTTTTTTCCTGGATAGGATATTATTATTACAGTTGACATCTTTACATCGAATATTAAGGGTGTGTGTGTGCATTTTTTCTCTCTTCACACTATCACTTACATATGCACTGACACCCAAATCCATCCACACCTACTCACCCTCAAGATGGAATATTTCATTCATAAGAAAAATCAAACAATCAATGATATAAGTGTATTATCAATACTTTTCATGCAATTATTTGATAATTACAATGTGGATATGAATGTAGAGAGGAGTGCTTGTGAGTGTAGATACAGATGGTAGATGAATAAAACAATCACGCCCACTCCTCACCTTCGACGGATAATCGATATTGCCAAATCCATTACTGTCACCTGAAGATACTAAAAATAGATATAAGCAGTTCTTTCAGGACAATGAAATGTTTAATACAAACTTCTTTTTTTGAGAGACTTGTGAATACGTGTGAATTTGTAAAAAGTAGAATGAAATAAATGATGAAAAATCGAGAGATTATATACTGATACGCATACGACACAAATGATTGTATTTCTTCGCACGTTATTATTTTATGGGTTTATTTTCATTTTTTATATCATGTGAAAATGTTTGATAACAGCATTGGTGGCTTTATTTTATTCATCTAGTGATAACACATCAGTCTATAAAGAAGAAAGGGGAAAAAACCACTTTATCATGAATCAGTGATATGTTTTCTTAGGTAAGCACTTGAATAATTCATACGAAAACTTATGCGTCTGAATATTCTCAATTCTGAAAGGATGAGTATAGGAAACGGTAATTGCTGATCGATTTGTCTAGGCTGTGACTGATCGAAATTTTAAAACAATAGGAATTCAGCAAACTTTTCTCCACTATCTTGAGGATGTGGGTCTTGTAATCTTCAGGGATGCGCATCCACACCCTCTTTAGAGTCACGGAGTGCAGCTCTGTCATTAGTTTGAGAGTGAAGGTATGGGCGTGTAGATACTCTTCGATCATCCACATCCTCACACTTGATCAACTAAAAACTGTTGTATTATTTATCTAAATGTCTAATCTATGACAATCTCTAATGGTTATCTACCATCCTCTTTAATTAATAATCCTCAAGACACGACTCGCATAGCCTGAGGTCTTGTTCTTAGTGATACTCATGCTGTACCTTAGGGATGTAAGTGTAGACAAGAAATGAATATGATACTCAAATCAACGTTTATTCACACTTGTAAAATATTCAAAGATCTTTATGTAGAGGTTCTTGAGAGCAACTTGCTTAGCAATAGTTTTCAGAGAAGATAAAGTTAGGAGGTACACATATTAATGAGAAAAGAAAAGAAAAGAAACGTACTGATTAGCGATTACTACATTAAAAAAACGTCATTACAGTATATTCTTTCTGTTCAATTCGATTTTTGATCATTTATTTACTAATTTTAAATTAATTTTATAATAAAAACTCATTTATGAGATTGTCTCGTCTTCTGTTTGCAAACAAGAGGGAAATACGAACATTCAACATGGTTAATATCAGTTATCCTTACATTGTATAACACATCTGTTTTTTCAAATAAATTTTCTCACCAAATCAATAATTGCATATATGAAAGATAATAATCCTATTTTTGATGAAAAATATTAAGAAATACACCATTTTTCAACATGCTGGTTATTTTCGAAAACAGACAGTTCTACTTACTGTAGGCGTTAAACACTAACTGAAAAGTTTATTGTGTCAATCATACATAAGGTAAGTTCAATTATAGAATATAAATAGAGAGGAAACAGTTGCTTTTTATGAAGAAATTTCCTACGATGATAGTACACAGTGTTTCTGTCAATATCAAATATTAAATTTATCATGAAAATGGCATCATCTAATATATTAATGGTGCCTTCTGTTTCTTCAATGTCAATTAAGAATGATAATTTGAAAACATATTTTCCTCTGTGGATTAATAGTTTGCTTAGTGCGAATGAAAATCGTAACACTCAACGAAAGCTTCGCTTGGCTATTGATCGTATAAGGATGTTTGAAAATTCCATTGAATGTGAAATATACATTCGTCAATCAAAAGACGATCAAATTCTATTAATCACCAGTGGACAATTGGGGTTTGTCATTGTTCCTCTTATTCATACATTGAAACAGGTCAGTTCCATATATGTCCATTATTTAAATCTAAGTAGACATCATGAATTACAATCAAAATTTACTAAAACTCGACCAACTATTATGGATTCAAATCGCTTTGTTGAGAAAATTCAGGTGAATCGAGAAAGAAAAGAAAGATTGTGTAATGAACCTCTACTTATCAGCATATTCAGTTCTATTTCTAATAAAGAATACTCATCGACAAATATCAATGGTGGCTTTCTTCATTTTCAACTCTTCATTGATGGCTTACTTCGCTTTCCTGACAGTCAGACAAGCCGAAATGAATTTTTCAATCTATGGGAAAAAGAATATAAAGACAATGATCAACAGTTGTTCAAACTCAAAGAATTTAAAGAATCTTATATTCCGGAAAAAGCTCTCTATTGGTATACAGGCCATAAATTTCTTTGTGAAAAGCTTAACAAAGCTCTACGAGCTCAAAATATTAATGTTTTATTTCTCTTTCGATTCTTTATTCAAGATCTATATAAACAACTCAAAAAGTTACAACGACAACAAGATCAAATACCAATCCGGGTTTATCGAGGTCAATATATATCAAAACAAGAATTACAGGATTTGCAAGAATCTAAAGGAAAAATAATATCGATGAATTCATTTCTATCAACAAGTCTTGATCGAGAAGTATCTTGTATATTTATTGAATCTGAACGTGATGATCTTTGTCGTGTTCTATTTGAAATTCGTATCGATCCTTGTGTATCTTATGACACAAAACCATTTGCTAATATCAGTTTACAAAGTCAATTCATAGATGAACAAGAAGTTCTATTTATGATTGCAACCATCTTTCGTCTCGTTGACATTTATCAAGAGAATGAAATAAATATCATTCAAATGGAATTATCTAATGGAAATTATGATTATGATACGAAACGTCTTTTTGAACATATGCAAAAGGAAAGTGAAGAATATGATGAACGTCTCTCACTTGGTCACATATTACGCGCTGCAGGATTGTATCATAGTGCTGAGCAATTCTATAATCGAGTATTAAATGAACTACCAGATGATCATCCATTGATCGCCGACATTTGGAGTTCAATAGGACTTTTGAAAAAAGAGCAAGGGGGAATAGAGTTCAGTTCAAAATGGTTCAATGCGTCCATGAAAAAGTATGAACAAATAGAAGATCATCCATTGATCGCCGACATTTGGAGTTCAATAGGATTTTTGAAAAAAGAACAAGGAGAGATAGAGTTCATTTCCAAATGGTTCAATGCGTCCTTGAAAAAGTATGAACAAACAGGAAATCATTTAGGACTTGCAAAATGTCTACAAAGTCTAGCTCTTATTCATTTAATGAAACGAGAATTTGATCAAGCAATTGATAAATGTAGTCAAGCATTGAATACGTTTCAAGAAGTGTTTGGTGGTCAAAAAAACAAATGGGTTGTCATGTGCTTACATAATTTGGGTGTTATTTATTTTAAACAAGACAAGTTTATTGAAGCAGCTCATTATTACACAACTGTATTAGATATTCGAAGAACAATTTTACCACACGGACATCCTGATATTGCAGCGACAATTAATAACATAGGCAATGTTTGTTTTGAGAATGGTGAATTTGCTCAAGCTCTTCAATATTATGAACGTGCGTTGGATATTTTTAAAATGTCGTTACCATCCGAACATCCGTCCGTCGCATCCACTTACTATAATATGGTTCTAGCTTACTTAAAAAAGAAGGATTATGAACGATCGTTAATCTTTTTAAATAGAGCGACTTATATTTATCAAAACACACTTCCATCTGATCATCCAGATGTTCGTCGTTGTCTCAATACTATCGATTATATTAAGCAACGGCAGTCTCAATTTAAATAATAATGAATAAATGGTTATACGGCGCCTAATTAAATGTCAACCGAAGTATAAACACTCTTTTCTTTTGTTCTGTACAGTATTACTTGCGCGTATTTAGTACAGAGTAGGCGTGCACCGAGCCCGAATTTCACGCATTCGACCATCCTTGGGTCTGACACATGCCTAATCTAGACTATAGTGAAGGAATGACTGAGTCTCGTATTATAGTTCTGAGAATGACCGAATCGTGGATTCCCGATCTGTATGCGGATACCATGCACGCCTAATTTAGACAGGCATTTTCTTATTTTTCATTCATTTCTCAAATTTATCTTCGCTATCTTTGCTTAGTTTATTCCAGACTTTACTTCTTTAGATGTCACTACATTCTTCGCAGTATCATTTTGTGGAGGAGATTGTTTTGCTCGCCTACTGTCTTACGTTACTTTTCACTTTTTTTCAATTCGAATGATCAAGCAGGAAAAAAGTCACAGCAGTATGATATGTACAGAAAATAGACGAAGATGAGAAATAAGAAGATAACTCCTGAGAATGTAAGTGAACGTGTGGGTATGCGCGAAGGAGGAATGACTATATCAGCTACCATCTTAAGGGTTTGGGGGGGAGGTGGGTGTGAGTTGGCTGTGGCTGTGGGTTTGGGTATAAAGTGCTAGATGAATACAGTATTCATATCCACACCCACACCCTCATCTACACCGATACCCATATCCACACCCTCATCCACGTTCACACCTTCACTCATACTCACACCCTCACCCACACCGATACCCATACCCACACCCTTACCGACATCCACACACCCTATTGCTAGCGAGGTTATATCAGTGTGTCTACATTCAAAACTTCATTTCTGATAATTTGACAATACTCTATACATTTCTGACTCATATACGCATGACCAGAATTCCTAAGTCATCAGAATTGCTGAGTCATTTGTATGTGGCAGGTTATATATATGTTCCGCTTCATTTCTATTGTGTGTGTCTTCTCTCTTCCCAATAAACATCGTCTTCACAACTCTAAAAGTCAGTGACATCAGAAATATTTTCAAAACTGAAGAAATTTGCTCTTCCGATCGAAACTCACTACTGCTCCATTTTAACACACGACAGAGTAGCTAATATTTTTGCATAACGTATGGCCATTTATAGCAGTGTACATACAATAGCATTCGAGCTGTTCTTCAAAAACTATAAAAGAACATGTTTTTTGTTCATGTTACAACTGGATCAAACAAGATAGATTACATATTTACAAATGGATGAGACAAGATATATTACATATTTACAACAATTGTTAAAAATCTTTGAACAATCAGAGATGGACAACTCTAACTCGGAGTTAGAGTCCGCTCCGGAGTTGACACTTTTTTTCCTTGATGGTGCAGTGGAGTTGGAGCAGAGTTTTGAAAAAAAACAGTGGAGTTGGAGCGAAGTTGGAGCAGAATCGTGAAAAAATGGGTGAAGTTAGAGGTCTAAGCCGCCAGTCGATTTTTGCTGAAGCCGACGGTCATCAACTGACGTTCTTGCTAGTGCCAATGCGCGTCCAAGCCGACGGCTTGCACCTTCAGGTGTAGTTGGATTTCATGATTTTTTCCAACTTCCATTCAACTCCTATTGATTTCATTTGTTATCGGAAGAAAAATAAAAGTAGTGAATCGTATTGAAACAAACTGGACTTATAATATCGAAGTGAAGTTAGATGGAGTTGGAGTGGATGTTTCGAAAATTGGAGTGGAGTTAGGTAAAGTTCGGTGGAGTTGGAGTGGAATCAGGTGGAATTAAGTAAAGCTGGAGTAGAATTCTAGGAAATTGGAGTGGGATTGGGTAGATTGGGAGTGGTGTACCTCCAAAGCTGCCCATCTCTGCGAACGATATGTTACTCATGTTACCAAGGTGAGCAGATCCGTGCTTTCCATGTGGTTTTCATATCACCGTATGGCGTATCTGCAAAGAACGTTTGTACCTTCATAAAAGCGGGCCAATCTTCGTTATTTGATTGTTGTTGTTCGACACTCGTTGTGCTCGATTGAACAGTCACTGACGTAGTTGCATCCATTCCTTCTTCGTATTTCGAAATTTCTGATTAGTTCTCTCCACAAGTAAAATTTATATACCCTTAGATAAGACACTGGTGATAAGGGTGGGTAAGAATTCGGCATCCCAGCCTAACTGAGAGTTTAGACAGAAAAAAACTCATGTTGCTTACCTTCTTTTATAACAAAAAACATATAGTTGGAAATTTTCACTGATAACTTAATATTTCATCATTAAAAAGTCTCTTATCAGTCAGCAACGAAAACATGCACAGTCATTTTATATTCTTTAAGTGATAATAAAGCAAAAGAAAAACGAAACTAGATGTTACGAACAGTAAAAAGATAAATAACGAGAGAAACAGAAAATAAAATTTTGTTTTTATGAGGGTGTGGCTATGGCTGAGGGTGGATGTAGCTGTGGGTAGATGTAGCTGTGGGTAGATGTGTAGGTGTCGTGAATGAAAGGATGATGAAATAATATATCACCCACACCCTTAAGTCCTTCAGTAGATATTGATTGATACAAAGGCACAAAGCTGAGCAACTATTAAAGTTCCTTCCCTATGAATTCGATATTGTAAATGCTTCTAACTACTACACGCTTCTTTTAGTAATGAGAGAAAACTGCATAGACATATCAGAATTCGTACATCATTATTTTAGAATAATTTGTTCTTTTGATTTCCTGAATCAACTTCAATCTTTCTAAGGGTGGCATCTATGATGATGGATATCATCTAGTGTAATTTATTCACAATCATTATGATCGAGATCTCGAACGTACCTTGGCATAAACATTGCTATATGAAACTCGATCTAGCGTGAATCGAAACTATTTTAGAGTGTTGGTGTAGGTGTTGGTGAAAGCAAGATAAGAGAACAAAGGCGCACACTCCACAGTCGCATTCTCAGATTATGTTGAGATTTACATGAATAGTAAATGATGTGAACAACTCATTTTATCGTATATACTAAATCTATAAATATTTGATTTTCGAATCATCGATAGTTCATTACCTTTTAATAGTAATGCATTTTCTCGTAAAGAATTTAATGATTTTAATTCATTATTTTAGTATCAACAACAATAGTTCTTTACATTCGAATTACTACATGAAGGTTCACGATATCCTACGAATGCATACTTTCGTTTCTATTCAACTCATCCATATAGGTAAACCGATGACGTTAATTGAGTGCTCTTTTTCTTTATTTTCTTCTGATATCTTAAAACGAAATAACTGTACATTATTCTGCAATATATTTTCTGGAAAAAAAACTTATGAAGAAACTATTTTGAATACAGTTCAACATCTTATCATTCAAAAATGTGGGTTCTGCTATAGATTCGGTTACAATATGACTACAGCTATCATACCCACGCCCACCTCATTGCTTGATCTGGGATAAATTCACTAAAGAATATATAATACTACTGTTATAACCTGAAAATGAATTACTTAGCAGTAAAAAATATTTAAATATTCCGTAAAGATAGCTTGGTTTTGTTCACTCTAAAAGAAACATTCTAAGTAAGCAAAAAAATCAGTTGAATCCCTGCACATATGGTTGCCATGTAGTGATATCACATATGTAATGAATAAGATTGTTTATTCGAACATGAACATTTATTAATGAAAAATGATATAGAGAATAATAATCAAATAAGAGGCAATAAGATAACAATAAAAAATAAATACATAGCAACAAAAGACATAAGCAAGAGAACGTTTTTGAAATAATAAAAAACATATACTTGTTTCTAAAATACACACGTAAATACGACACAATATTTTTATAACACTTACATAACTATTTTATACAATCATACGTAGAAGAGAATAAGAGGAAAAGTATTCTAAATGTTTCATTTATTGATTAAATTTATAGATTTTTATTAAAATAAATTTCTATCTGCTGGTGTTTGTAAAAGATGAAGAAAATATCAAATACTTGAACTGTCTAATGCACAAATACATATTATCAATGATGATGTATACATAGAATGTTTGTAACTATTTAGAACGAAAATATTTTGAGTGATATATTAGCTCAAATTTGCAGAATTCTCAAAAAACAAACAAATTGTCCATATCTAAGATCGACATCTATTTGTCGCTTTCATACTGTAACCTATAATAATAATTGATCATTCGATCGATATGCTTTTTTTCCTTTTCTGCACGATTCAATAAAACCTAGGATAAGATTATATAATCAAAACGTTTTTTTTATCTCTGGTATGTTAACTCATCAGTTATCATCTGCTTCATGTTGTTCATATGTATAATTTTAGTACTAATCAATATTTTCTTCTGAATCATTTTTGCTACAGTGTTATTATTACTGCACTTTCCTTTAATTATAGCAGTTGGTATAAGTGAATAATTTCACGGTAGGTGACAACCACGTGCGAGGCGTGTTATGATCAATTACATACAATATAAAATATAACTACGTCATATTTTTCTTTGTAAATAATTTCTTACGTCATCTTATTTTTCGATTGATTCTATACCACTCAGAAATACAGACGTATAATGACTAATAGCAAAAAAATAGTATAATGAGAACTGATTTACTTCAGACAAGCAAATCTATGATTTATATATTCTATATTTTATTGATTCGGTTGAAAGAGCAATGGCTGCTAATTATTATTTTTCTTGTTAATATGAATAAAATTATTTTTTTATTTTAGATAGAATAACTAAAATTCAATGAAATTTATTACTACTTTTCTACGAAAGAACGATGTCGATCTTCGACCGTCCAATTCTGAACCAATTGATATTGAATCTGCTAGGACGCGTCTTTATCCAGGTGCTCATGTTGCCGCTGGAACTCCTTATGAACATTTTCATCATGGTATTGTCATTGATTTAACAGGAATTGATATAACAATCGTTCATTATTGGGGTGCTAAAAAAAGCGAAGCTCGTGTTCAAGCAACTACTCTACCAATTTTTGCTGCTGGTGGTATAAAAAAACTTGGCACAAGAAGTCGACAACTGTATATAGTTAATTATGAAGACGATACTCCTGAAAAACAACGACAAACATGTGAACTAGCGAAAGAACTGCTCAAAACACCTGATGTTTTCAAATATAATATATTTACACAAAATTGTGAAGGTTTTGCTTATTTTTGTCGAATGGGACAATGGAAAAGTGAACAAGCGACAGCATTGCTAAACTGTCTCAAGAACAAACCTAAACAATTGTTTAAAACAACTAAACATGAAAAAAAATCAAATGTAAATAACTATGCTTGTTTGTTTAAAATAATACCAAATGATGTTCTTTCACCAACTGACAGAGATGAATTGATAAAATTGTGTGAACAATATTCTTTGTCAGTATAAAATTTATATGAATAAAATTTGTAGTAAGCATGTAAATAACAAGTTGACTTCATTATTCAAATTATATAATACGTGTAAACTGCAACTGTTTTTTTTTTTGTAGTTGATTATTGTCATTGAAGAAATCAGAGAATTGCTTATCAAGTTTTATTAACATGCTTATTTGTATCAAAATTCTTCAATAGATTTAAAGTCATAAATAAAAATAGTTGAACTTTTCAAGAATACTCTTGCATCAAAATCAAACATGTTAGATCGTGAATCGATATTACTTTATTTTAATAGAAATAAAATAAAAATTAAGACAAAAAATGATGTATTAAAAATCAATTGTGAAGAATTACTAATACCAGGAATAGTAGTTGTTTCTATAAGAGCGTCACACCAATCGACTATGATATTATCGAGAGCTAGTGCCATTCTTACCGGTGTTCTTTGATTAACTGTAAAATAAAGTGAGATAGAACAGTTACCTTTATGCAATGGTACAGTTATCGTTTGCCATCCATTACTATCATCTTGTTCGATAAAAAACAACGATGCTGCATAACATCCTCCTGTAGATACATCTAACCAAGTACCATTATCAGTACCAGTTGATTTAATGTAGTACATAAATTCTAGACACATATTTTCACCATTGGTTTGATTAAATTTTGGAGTATGCGCTCGCCCATTGAATTCTTCAGCATGTGGAAAATTGTCAGAACGAGACCAATAGAAAAACGAATGACCGGAGAAGGGACCAAGATCTTGATAAGTGATTGTTTGAGGTGATTGAATTGTAAAATTAATAGAAGGTGGTTCGGGGTCGATAGGACTACCATTCTCAATACCACAAGTCGAATTTGATTCAAAATTACAAAAGAATATATGTGCTTCTGTATGCAAAATTACTACAAAGCACCAAACAGTAAAAACATAAGTAATAGGTGACAACATAATAATGCAAAAGAAAAGATAAAAACTTCGCATATTGTGATATAGAGTCTTAGTTGTTATCTATTATCATATGCGACGCTAGAAATCAATGAGTAGCATACATAAGAAAGCTTTTCTGACATAGAATAGTGTAAAAGTTCTAGAACTTCACTAGTATTTTTAGTTGAATTTAAATTAGCTATGACAAGTAATAGCGTTTCGAATGAGATTCGTTTTTTTATTATTACAAGTAGATGGAACATGAAATCGAACAAAAATCAGACAAACAGTTTTCTTAATTCTTAGCACCAATTTTATTTTCAAAATCACAGAATATATATCTAATGTTATTGTTCGTCATCTTTTTCTTCCGTTATTACTGATTTCATATGAACTCCATGTTTTAATGTTGCTGTACCTTGACCTTGTCGTAATATTTTTCCATTTACATTTACTGTAACAGATCTTTGTTGTGATGTTGAGATTTCTTTTAATACAAATGTTCGATGAAAAGGACCAGGTATAGTTTCTGGATGAATTATAAGTTCAACTTCGAAACTAGTTTGATTTTCTGAATGAGATTCTGGCAATTGATTGATGGATAGTTGTAATCCACGTGTATGTTGATGATCAAGAATTGTTTCTAATTGAATAGGAGTTTGAAGGAAAACAACATCCAGTGTCATTGAGTAAATATGAGAAAGTTTCAAAATACCAAAATATAATTCAAAGGAACAATTATTATCACAGCATTCTTGCCATTGTAATTTAGCTAAGAGAAAATAATTAATAATAGGATTAAAAGTAAAAATAGAAAAAATTGAATACTTGATTTATGTGGATTCTCTTCATGATTGTCTAATGAATCTGTTGCATCGGCAGTAAATCGAACACCTACAAAATATAATAAAAATAATGTTGAATTTCTTGTTAAATTTACCGCCAGCTTTTCGAGTATGAGTAGATGTATTGTCTACCATCTGGAAGAAAAAATAAAAATAATTGTGGAAAAGATGATAACTACTTAATGGAAAGAGAAATGTAGTTTTTATAAAGTTTTTAATGACAGAATAAATAAAGTGCTATGTGTCTATTCTTTATTTCTTCATACAAAGATCGATTCTGAGAAAATATCAACATTTCAAACGTTTTCATTTTACTTTTTTGACATATTTGAAACAAACTTTCAGTTAACTCATATTGCCGATTATTAATAAATTATACCGTAATGAACTGATAAATATCATAGTGTTTAAAATTATATCATAAGAAAATTATAATTTCGCTTGAAATCGTACCTAGAATCATGTCCAAAATATTGTTTTTACTCTGCCCTTGATTTCTTTAGTATTAATGATATCGATCAAATCTCTTCTTATTATGCATAGATATAGAAAACTATGGAATATAACTGCACAAGAACAAAAATAAGAATTAGATTAATATTCAACACAGCTATGAATATAGGAAATAAATCAGAATTTTAGATATTTTATTAACAAACTTTCATTACCTATACAAGGAAATATAGAAGCTACAGTTTATATCGTAAATACGTGGTTGAATGATGTACATCGGTTAAATTATAGTAATCAATCCTTTGTTCTGAGTGATATATTAAATCGGTAGATGAAAAAAACATGGTGATTTAATATAAAGTTAATATCATAATCTTTTTCTACTTTAAACAAGGTCTTTGTCAAGAAATTGAATGACAAACCGAGTTTTACTTTTCTTATTTTATCCTGATGACTTCAACGCTAATCATAAGAAAATAAGATAGAGGGCAGCAAATAACATTGATAGACTGTTAAAACGACATATTTCGAACTGTACTATATATATACAAAGAGAATATTTTAGTATTTGTGTTCTTTCTGACGTTCTGAAATGTACTTATTCAATATAACATGAAGAACAGCTGAACTCATTGTAAAAAAGACCACTTCTTTTACTCGTAAAAAGTGTAAAAAATGCCAGCTTTTCGGACAGCTCTCAATGAATTTTAATTCAAGAATCCTGTTTAAGAATTTTTTAATATATACTGTTTTGTAAAACTCAACAAACTCTATCGAGCCATGTAACAATATCTGAGAAAAACATTTTATTCCAGTCTTAATCATCGACATCTTAATTCTTCATCGCAAAAAAAGGTGGGGTAGGTCAGTAGTTAGTTGTGCCTTATTTACACTCATACACACACATTTCATAATCAAAAGATCTCATTCTCTTTCTCTCGACAATAAAAAAGCTATTTGGAATGAATTATTACAAAAACAAATGCAAGTAACACAAAAAAAAATTCTTTGTAATACTCTAATAATTGAGCAATTTTCTCTTTACTTTTTTTAATCTAGGACTAAGAAGCAGAACGAAAGAATAAACGAACAAACATAAATGATAATACAAAGACCATTACAAATAGTTAAAATAAATGTGTACATTCGATACCCTTTATGACTTATATCTAACTACAAATTACTTGTAGTATTCTAGAGGTTTTTATACAAATCTTCTTTATTTTAAAAACATCTACATTATGAAATGAAATAAAATCTCTTCAAACTTTCTTTTAGCAAAAGAAGGACATTGTAGTTTATCTATATATATTATACTTTTACTTCTATCGTTTTCTCTATACAGATATCATGTTACTCTATACAACTGATTGTGTGTACGAAACTATTATCGTGTTTTTCTGTTTCGATTGAAAAACAATTACTTGTTCTATATAAGCCATATGTAACGCCTTTATTTTTTATAAGAAAACTGATACTTTTCACGTTTATCATGGTCGATATAACAAAAAAAGCAGTTTGGCTTGATTGTGATCCAGGACATGATGATGCATTTGCCATTATATTAGCTGCTTATCATCCATCACTTGAACTTATTGGAATATCAACTATTGATGGAAATCAAACACTTGATAAAACAACAAAAAATGCATATACAATTGCTTATATAGCAGGTCTACCAACTACTATTCCAATAATACGTGGTTGTAATGAACCACTTTGTCGAGACATTATAACAGGTGGTGACATTCATGGAGAAACAGGACTAGGTGATATTGATATTCCAGAACATCCAGAATATCAATCGTCAATAAATGACTATGATGAAAATTATCTATGGAATATTTATAAAAAGATTCGTGATGTTGGAAGATTAGTTACTTTAATTGCTATTGGACCATTAACTAATGTTGCATTATTACTTAAAGTTTTTCCACAAGTATTTTATTTCCAAAAAAATTCATTATTATTATTATTTTCTTTGATATAATTTAGATAAAAAACTATTTATCAGAAATTGTTATTATGGGAGGTAGTATTGGTATGGGAAATGCGACACCCAGTGCAGAATTTAATTTACTAAATGATCCAGATGCAGCTCATATTGTTTTTTCATCACCACATGTACCTCGTCTAGTGATGGTTCCATTAGAAGTGACACATACTGTTTTCGCTACTAAACAAGTTCGTGACCGTCTTCGATCAATAGCTTCTCCATTTTCAACAACTCTCGATTATTTACTTCATTATTTTGCTACTGCTTATAAAGATGTATATCAATTTGATTTTCCACCATTACATGATCCATGTGCAGTAGCTTACGTGGCAAATAAAGATTTATTTGAAGAACAATTAATGCATGTTGATATTGAACGAACCGGTGGATATTGTCTAGGAAGAACTATTTGTGATGTATTTGATATGCAACGAAAAGAAAAAAATTGTTTCGTAGTAATGAAAATTAAAAAAGTCGAACAATTTTGGGATATGATGTTAGAAGCAATTGAACAGGCGGATAAGAGAAGTCCAATGAATACAATTAGATAATATTTCTACTTTTTTTAAAATCTTAATAAATATACTAGATATTTGATTTGTATACTTATACAATCAGAAAACATAAATGATACAATCGTTCACTCTCATTCAAATGTAATATATGTTGAAAATGATACTATTTCACGATTATCTTCAAAAACATATTAAAAATCATGTTTTTTTGTTCATTTTTCGATTTATCTTCTTTATATTTATGCAGAAACGTAGTTGAAAAGATATTTTAATTAAAAAACGTCTATTATGCCTGAAAAACTTTTGTATTCGAGCGTTTATAAAACGTCTTTTTATTATTTGCATTTATTTCATAGCAAGTGCTTTTCATATACACGAAGATATACCAATAACAAAAAAATTGTATGACAAGGAGTGCAACTATTGTGTTGTACTATTTGATTGTTAATGAAAAATTATTACCAGAAAATGCAATATTATTATATTGTTTTATTAAGTAAAACGCTCAACTGGTGAAATTAACAAAATCAAATCTGTTTGAATAAAAAGCTCCATAGTTTTGTCATTTTTTTTCATATTATATTCTATACAAATAATTATCTTTTTATAAAGTCATAATCTGAAATATACTTGTAATAAATAATCGCAGTAAATTAAAATGGTTTTTACCATGGAAGCATTAAAAGCTGATTTATAAAATTTAAAATATTAGCTCTTCTTGGAAATTATTTTAACATGAAAGAATATATGAAAAGTGCTGAATGTAATTATAAGATAGGTCGCGAAGTACAACATACAATAATTTTAATATATTTTGATACTTATAAAAATGTAGCAAACAGTAGTCGCATGCGATCTAGAAACAAATGCCTACACTTATTAAGAAAAAATTATAGAAAAAAGATTACCATTTCATTTCTATTCTATAAATTAAAAAACATATCTCGAAGTAACTGTCATTTAGAAGCAGATACAATCATATTATTTTATTTCACACCCTAATAACATCTCAATAATGAGTGATGATATCGAACGCCTTAATCTAATAAAATACATTATTTTACAGAGTACAATTGTTCCATCATTGTTGGCTGATATTTTGGTTTTTACTTATTTTTTTCGTCGTTGGCGACAAGCTATTATTAATGCACCACACAATCATGTTATTTTCTGTTTACTTGTAAACAGTTTCATAGAGAAGATTGGTGATACACCCTCTTATCTATATTTCCTTCGATGGAATATTGTAATGAATCAATCATCAAGTTTCTGTCTCTTTTCGATTTGGCTTTCTTATTCGCTATCGGTTACTTCTTTAATACTTGCTGCATGGTGTTGTGCAGAAAGACATCTATTCATTTTTCACAGTGCAATGATGAGAAAAAATGATTTTCAATCATGTTTCATTATATTCCACTTCTAATTTGTATAATTTATCCACAAATCTTTTACATTATAATGATCTTTTTTCCCACACAATGTACAAATGTATGGGATTATACAGTATTGTATTGTGGAGGAGCTTGCTATACATACATACATACAAAGTTTAATCACATTTGATTGGTTATTTAATTATGGTTTTTTAATTTTAATCATAGTTATCTCTAACACGGCACTTTTTACTCGTTTTATATGGAGAAAAGCTAGTCGCCAACAGCCTATTCAATGGCGCCGTCATCGACGTTTGATTATTCAACTTATTTTTATTTCATCTCTCTTTCTCATTTTTGGTGTTCCGTCAACGCTTGTAGCTATTATTGAAGTTTTATGGTTACCCACATTTCTTCTTGATATTGAATATAATTATTTGGTATATATATCCGTTTATGGTAACCAATTATATCCATTTGTTATTATAGGTTCATTACCTGAAATACAGAAAGATTTAAAAAAATGGATTGGACGTATAAGAAGATTTTTCCTAGACCAAGGTCAAGTTCAGCCGTTTCAGACATCTGTAAATCAATGAGATAATGAAAGAACAAATAAAACTTCAAAACAAGTATAATAAATCGAACATATAAAGAGTTTCTATTTTTCTTCATCTGCTTAACACGTTCATTTTTTTTATATATTCATCTTTTAATAAATACACTCGTTCATCATTTTACCGTATGTTACCATTCGTTTCTCTTTATAAATAACAATATTTTGTTTTTCTTTTGTATAACAAAATATGCTAGGCAAATATTTTTGCTCATTTTCTGCAGAAGCTTCTAGAATAAATGAAAAGCTTTTAAGAACAAAATCAAATTGGAATATTGATAGGATTACTATATAAAAAAAAGTGATATCAATTGATATTCAATTATCGATACTTAAGCCTCAAAAATAGTTTGAATCAAAAAATGTAAAGCGATATTTAAACGAAATATTTGTTTCAATTCATTTTCACTTATTCGAAAAATAAAGAAGTACTAAGAAAATGCAAAAGCTCGTAGCTTTTTACATGCTTATTTCTCTCGTAAAATGTATCGATGGTATGTTTATATGTGAGAATGATGGCATGTTTGAAAATCCTACTGATCGTAGTACATTTTGGCATTGTGCTAATGGCATTAACTATTTAAAAAATTGTCCATCACCTTTAGTTTGGTCGCAAGCAATACAAGCATGTACTTGGAATGGTAAATATTTTCTAATTATTTCTTGTGTATTAAATTAAAAACAAAGAAAATTCATTCATTGCATTAAAAAATGGTCGGAGTGTCATTACTAATTTAATCTATTATTTACTTTTAGTAGAAGAACCATCAACAACAATAGCACCAACGATAGCATCAACAGATATTGTATCAAGTGAGTTACATTCTGACGAATCGTTCGAATATTAGTTTAAGTGAATGTATGCAATAATTGACATAATCCGTTATTCTTCTTTTAAGAAATCAATATGGTAAAAGTTTTTCTAAAACACTATTGGTCTGTTAATGTCGATCGAGACGAAAAAATTAATTTCATGGAATAGTATCCATTCTATGTTTATCTAAATTATTTTACTTTATTCTAGCAACTATCACAACACCAAGTTCTCTTCCTCCACAATGCTTGAACTACACGTCAATTACGGATGGTACTCGTCGAACAACTAACACATATATTCTTGCTGAAACTGATAATACATATTTCAGTAAAACACGCACTTGGGTTCGATTTGAAGGTGATGCGGGTACTCGTATTGCTGAATCTACTGTTCCGTCTAATCGTTGCGGATCAGAAGGTGCTGGATGGTTAAAACATCCACAGGAACCAGAAATCGGTGAGACAGTGACCCAAACGGCTTGTTTCAATATGCTTGGAATGAGCTGTATTTGGCCTGTGAAGATTCCCATGACCAACTGTGATGGTTTCTTTGTCTATGGGCTTGTTGCTCCAGCTCCTTCTAATGCTCGTTATTGCACTATCTAAAATTAAATATTATTGAAATAAAGGAGTAGTTTTTCAAAGCATACGATACATCTTGAGAGTGGATGTAGATATCATTGAGAAACAATTATAATATTTATACATAAACTATACACAAGGCGTGTAGATTTGAATAAGAAATGAATATAATATCTTCATTCATAGTTATATCTACATTGTTATCCTCAGTACTTGTAATATGAACGATATTCATGGCTGATTAGGAACTCGTATTTCTCTTGAAAAGTAATATCTTTCACTATATATACTAACTACAAAAAATTAACAATATAAATGATGAAAACCTGTTATTTAACACATTTATAAGTTAAATTTAAGACGAATTACTTATTATCTGTTAAGTATATATTATATAATATTCTTATCAATGAACGGCCTGTAAGCTACTGGAAAAATCGTAATATTCGTTAGAATGAAGTTTTGCAGCGAAAAATAAAAGTTATCATATATCTGTGAAAGAGAAATAAATATGACATGTATACTTAAAATGTATCTTTTCATAATGATTTATTCTATGCGATGAGAATTATAATTTATAAGTTTAATCTTAAGAGTACATTACTGAATAGTAACTATAGGTAGTTTCTTCATAATTCAGTATAGATAAGTGAATGTCAATTTAAATATATCAAAATCAGAGCTTGAATAGAAACAAATGAAGTTTTAGTCTTGTATGGATATTATTTGCAGTGCCGTTTGACGACGTCGTTTTAAGCAATATCGTCGAATTAACTTGATTATGGGAAGTGTAATCCATTGAAGAACAGTTGCAAAACTACCAACCAAACTGATGAGTATAGTAATTATATAATTTATATCATATTTGACAATATAGGTATATTTACACTCTTTAGGTTGACAATGCTCATAATAGGCCGAATAATTAACATGAGTATGCCATTGTTCAATCATCATCTTCTTTGCTATGACTTCAATCGATGCATTAGTATTAAATATACTGTTCCGAGATGTATTTAATGCTATTGTTTGAATAGACATTGGATTAAAATAATCAAAATTAATTATTTTACGAAACATATCTATCCACGTTTGATTGTAAAAAACAGCAAGATTTGATTTTAATGCAGCTTCAACAGTGTAGCAACCGATAAAAAATCCTGGAATATATCTAATAGTAATATTTTGCTGAATACTCAAAAGAAATGCTTGTCGTCTGCACGTTGGATCACTATGACAAAGACAAACAGATGTATTATCACCAAAATTGTCGGATGTTTTTACTAGCTTCCAGTATATTCCATCTATTTTTTGCCACCTAAAATGTGTTGACAATGCGAAGCCTGATATAAGACCATTTCTATGTGTCATATCGTTATTAATTTGAATTGAACTAAAGAATGTATTTTCATTTGTAGATATAAAAAGATCAATAAGAGATTGCCCTTGTTTATCAAGTATTTGTTTTGGAATTACACGAGTAGTAGTGAATAATGATCGATTAAAATCTTCAAGTTCATTATTAATTGTCGTAAGTGATAATTCACATAATGATGCAATTGTTCGAAAAATGAAGCCTCCATAAATACGAAAATCGTATAAAGGTAAACCTTGAATTCTACTAGTACGTAAAAGTCCATGAGACCATAGAGGATCGATAAAATTACTTCGACAAACTTGATGAAAAGTAGGTTGTAGAATAAGAAAGATTTGTCTTGGAATGATAATATTTGTACAAGGACAACTCAATGTTTCTGAATGTGTTCGATAGAGCGAATTATATTTTTCATTTGAAGGATTACTAACTATTACAATTTTTGTTACTGAAGTTTGTGATGAATATATAGTAAGAATAATAATTAGAATTATAAGAAGAATTGATAAAATACGAGTGGCAATTATTTGACTTCGAATCTCATATTCATTTTCGATAGTTGAATTGTTCGAAGAATAAAAGTTAAGTTTTCGTATTCGATTAATAATCATTTGACAAGAGCAATTTGAAGAAACAGATCTTACAGATGTATCTCGATTTCTACGATTAAAACAACGAGAATATATTGCAAATACACATTTAACAAGAAATGGAACAATAATTTGTAAGATCTTCGTAAGACCACTAATAAGACCAAAGACTATTGTCACTATATTTAATAATGAATTACGTTGAAATAATGTATATATACATTTTTCAGGATTACATTGTTTATAGAAAGCTTGATGAGAGGTAGAAATATTCCATCGATCAATGAATATCCTATCCATAATTTCTGCAATGGTTGAATTAGATTTAAAATGTTTTAGATTATTACTATCTAGAACATTAATATATGATATATTAAGCCAAAAAGTCATTATATTAAGACACGATTCATTAAATAGACAAGTTAAAGTAGAGTAACGCATACTGTCTAGTAACGTACAACCTCTATAAAATCCAGGTATGTCCATGTACCAACTTTGAATATTAGTATTTAAATAAATCGATAACGGCATATAACATTGTGTAAAAAGTAAGCAATCACATCGTATAGTATTATTTTTAGAATACATTATATATGAAATAGTAGAAACTCCAACACTGTATGATGAGTTAGTTTTCAAAAAATTCAGCCCAAAATTTGTCATTTTACTATTTACAAGCATATTATTTTGTGTCATTATCGAAGTAAGAGTGAACATAGTTACGAAAGAGTGAGTTGTTGATTGAATAAATGCTTCATTAATTTTATTAGTTTCTAAATCGAATGTTTCTGGAGCAAGTGCTTTAGTGGCAATGTATGAAGTTGAATTAAATAAAGTAATACGCTGGACGATATATTGATCGGATTCTAGACATAGAAAACTTAAAGAACTAAATAATGTAGATGCTAAATTTCGAAAATCATATGCGTAGAACTTTAAATTTAATTCGTAGGCTATTAATGCAGCTTGAAGAGAATCGGAGTTACAGAATGGATGTAAAATATAATCGACTGTAATAAATTTGTTATTCATAATTGCTAGTGTTGAACAAGGACAACTAAATGATGGATTAGAATGTTGATCAGCAACTAGTTTAATGAATTTTTCATATGTTGGTGATTTGATTTCATAAAGAATATTAATATTTACAGTGCTGTAGTATGAGATTAAAATAACAAATAATATTATTAAAAGTAATAGGAAAAGTCGAGTAGCTATTATTTGTTGTTTAATTTCTATTTCGGTTGATGATGGTTTTGAGAAATAATTAAATGTACGAATACGTTCTATCAAAGATCGAATGGTAATTCCTATGCAAGTACAGAAATAAAACTAAATATACATTCTTTATCTATTTTACTTACGAGATTCATTAACTAACGTTGCAGGAGATACGAATCGACGTCGAATAAATTTGACGATTCGTGGAATAAGAAAACGGAAAACTTCTGTTAATCCTCCTGCAAAACTAATCAATGTTGTTATCATATACATAATATTGAATTTCGATGTATATGAATAAGTACATAATGAAATTTTACAATGATTAAAATATTTAATATATGAAATCGTTTCTTTCCATTCTTCAATCATCGCATTGAAGAGAAGTTCATAAATTCTGGATGAAACATGAAATTTACTTCTATTAGATATATTCAAAGGTAATATTTGCTTGTTAAGTACTACAGGTGCTGAAAGGAATTGTTCGATCATCATAATACATGATTGATTATAGAAACATTCGAGTGATGAATATTGAACAGCGTCAATTAAATAACAGCTTTTAACTAAACCTGGTATATGAAACAAAGACGATGACATATTTTGATTTAGTTGACGATTTCTTAATGTCAAAGAATCGATACATTGACGAAATCCTCTACATTGACAAGTTTTATTAGTATAGGCATGATAACTGAAATGTATTCCCTTGCTTTCGACATCTGCTAAAACTTTCATATCACCAAATAAACTTGTCATAATTTGATTTATTCTAATTGAATATCGAATGAGCTCGTGTGATTTAAAAAAAAAGAATTTAGTCGATGATTGAAAATTTTTTATACTTGTTTCAATTTGTTCTTCTAATTGATTTTGAATAAGAGCATTAGCCATTATGAATTGTGTTGATCCAAATGTCTTCAAAGCACTATTAATTGTTTCATTCGCCAAACGACAAAGCGATGCAAGAGTGAGAAAGTATAGACTACCAATATCACTGAAATCATCCGACATGTGTATATTTGCAGCTGAATCAAGATGATTTATCCAATTATGTTTAATAAAATTAGATGTACATAATTGATGAAATTGAGGTTTTAGAATAATAAAAGATTCATAATGTATAGCTAAATTTTTACATGGACAATGAAGTGTATCTGAATAGCGAAGTGAAAGTAATTGAAATTGATCGATTGAAGGATTTTTAACTTCAACAGTGTGTGTAATATCTACTTGAGCTGTGTAAATCAAAGTAATAAGAAGAGAAAATGTTAATAACAAAATAAAAATACGAGTAGAGATTCGTTCATTTTTCAATTCATATTCATTGTTTATAGTACTGGATGATGCAAATAAATTAAGAGTTTTGAAATATAATACCAACTTTGAAAACATAATGTCTAAATATCAAACTCTTCTTTATCCGCGAATGGTTAAAGAAAAGGTAAGTGATAAAAAAACTAACGTTTGTATCGTATATTTTATCTATAGATTGTGATCTTTATTTTGTTAAAATATGAACTAAATCTGTTCTATAATTGCAAATAGTGAAACGGAACATAGTATGTATTCATTCTGTCTGTGTTTGAACGTAGTAGATGAGTCATTTGTTGATTTACGTTTTAAAATACATGTAAGCGTTAATGATTATCATTTTTTATACAAATTATTTAACAATATTGATAATGTATCTAGTAGTTTTTATTACTCTATTATTCAAATATTCACTGCAGTTCTGATATGAAAAAATAGTAAATATAAGTCATATAACAGAAAATGAAATCTGCTTAATTGGCATAAACTGATCATTTATTGCATCATACTTGGTCACTGATCTATTCGTTTCATATGTTGTTATAAAATATTAATAATAGTAGATTTTATTCTTGTCGGTATATAAAATCTCACTGAGGAAAAACCTCACTGTAGTATAAAAAAGAGCTTTACTCATGTCAATAAAACCTGCTGTCGATGCATTTCAGTAAATTCTTATTTTTAAAAGACGTCGCTAACTTATTGAAAGAAATAATAACAGTCATAAAATAATTGTAAACTTGGTGGAAACTACTACAAATTGATTTCAATTTTCACATTATAGTCTTATCCATTCTTATATTTTCTTAATTCGATTCTACGACTCAAGAAGAATAAAAAATAAGTAATTCTTTTTTATTGAATAATTCTAAAGTCAAGCAAGATTCAAGGTTTTTGTTGTTGTCTGAGACTAGTAATAGTGCTTGCTTCATGACTGTCTTACATATTACATATTATTAGTTAGAAAGTCAATAATGAAAATTCAAACAATATTTATTCACATTTTGTTTTCAATGTTTTGTAATGTACTGAATTCATTACGAAATGCGATCCAATTATCACTTGTTTCACTGTCTAATACAGCAAAGATCACTTGTTTCAAGGATCCACATCTATACTCTTTTTTCTCCAGACATTTTTTCCATAGTTTTGCTTCTACATATGGATTATGACGAAATGCTCCACATCCACTGGCACCCGTAACTAAAGTATGTACTTGTTTTGCTAAACATGTTTTTAGAACACCCTCAATATCGATTATGCATCTTTTCTCCAATTCTTCTTCATTTTTAACATTTCCAATTAGTGTGTAAAAATATTTTCGTTCAGAATATGGACAAAATATTGGAATGTAATGACGAAAATCGGCAAAAGCAGTAGCAATCATTCCACAATCGACATGAAATGGACCTGTCACAAATTTGGTTATTGCCCAATAATTTCCACCTGGAGGAATATGCATACCTGTCTTATAAGATATCCATCTTCCTCGTACCCGTGATTTCAATCCTGTTTCAACAAAATAACCTAGCGTGCCTAGCAATACTGCTCCATCACAATTGGTAGCGACTTCTTCTTCTTGAGATCCACCGAAATCAACACTATAACTACCACAAACATTATGACTGGCTGCAAAATTGACCCATGCAATCAACTTCGGTTCATTTTGCATATTTTGATATAATTCTTCGATAGTCTCTTGTGTACCTTGTCTTGTGATTCTTATTTCTAAATCATGATCTGATTCAAATAAATTGAACTCATGCAATTCATAATTTGGAGCAAACCAGTCAAAGAGTTCTAGAGATTGTAAATGTTGGGTCATCTCCAATTTCTTTTTCTTCCTTTCATCTGTATCATCGATAAATTTGCCATTCCATTCAATATCATCACGAGAACCAATGGCGTACACTCGACTGCGAAGAATTCGACGATCAGCATGACTCTTAGACATACTTAACTGACGCCATTCTGATTGTTCCATATGATTTGTTAGATTGATAGCAAAATTCTGAAATTCTCGACCATGTAAATCAAAGAAACGTGATCCATATTTACGAGAACGCCATAATCTTCTATATTCTTCAAATATATTATTAATTATGTCTTTATCATTAGTTTGTAGTAATTCATCGGTCCATTTACGAAATATAGTTTTTTGTTCATCATTTTCTTCGAAACGTAAGTAGAATTCATCTACATCAGCTTCATTGATGTCAGTATAGATTTGTTTATTGATCAAAGTTCCACAAGGATATAGGTTTGAATAATCAATACGTATGCATGGAACAGTTCGTGAATTCATTACCAAGCAATCAGCATAGAGTATTGATACTTTCACTAGTTGTATCCTAAATAGAAAATTTTGTAAAGTGCTAGAATAGATTCGAAAAAAATATTAGTAATATCATCATGACTAATCTAATCATTTTTGACAAAACCTTTTTATGTGGATGAGTCATATACAGAATTGAAAAATACCTTATTCTGCCACGTAGACTTTTGTTTATTACACATGGTTACTAAATGAAGTCTAACAATATATTAGTTTAAATAACATTGATAAACATATCATTTTTGTACAGTATGGTTCTATAGCTCAACTTATTATGCTTTATTATTGTTAGCCAATCTATAAGCAACATTACAAGATATTTCTTAATGATTCTTTATTCGACTGAAAGACTTTACATACTTACGTATATTTTAGTAAACACACATGAACAGGATAAGTTCTAATGTTGACATACAAGCCGCTTCTTCCATACTTGTTATTATCAAATTGTAATATTATATCTGACGCAATGATTGTGAAATTACAATGACTCATATGTTTTTTCTTTCTTCTATTCTGACTATTTGTAAAAAAAAGAAAGAACGATAGGTTTTTTGTTGTTTTATTACCCATATCCATCCAAAGTATACATTTTTGTTGTATACTTTTTCATATTAAAATAAATTTTCTGACACAATTTAACGTACACTTATAGGACTTATGACTGTTTAATCGAATGACGTGCAAAAATAAACTTCGCGTATACATATTCTTTTTTTCTATGAAACTTCATTAGCTAAATCATAATATTTCTATAATATTTGAAGACAATAATTTTATGTCATATGATATTTCTTCTTTTGTTTTATTAATGTCATCAGCTTTTTAATGTGTTTTAAATGAAATATACTGTCTATTGTATTGTATTGATGTTTGTTTTTTATGATAACGTTAATTATACAATTGCATAAACTTGATAAAATTAAATAACTAAATTTCTTTCGCTTTATGATGCATGTCTAGTAGTTATTCATTAATGAAACAAGATAATATGTTTATACAAATATGGGATTTTACATTATTGTTACAATTCGATCATTCTCTTCATAATGAAGTATTATATATTTGTTTGTGCTATTAAATGTATATAATAGAAAATATCTATGTAATTAACAAGTGATTCTAAAAACATGATATTTTTCATAGAACTATGTCATATTTTTTCATGAAGACTCTTTATAGACAAAGGAATCAAAGACTCATCTTGTTTTATTGTACTTTCAGAACGTAATCTATTCGGGTCAACCTAATCTTATAATCATCATTTGACTAAGCAGAAATAACAAAATTTTTATTAGAATTGAATGAAATCATTGTGTACTGCTTACCGTCTAAGACGATTATAACCGTTAATAAAAATATTGTTTTTAAGTCTGTGAAAATATATTCATGGGTCATGATAATCTCATTCCATTTGCTTAATTGTACCGATAAAGTTTCTGAATAAATCAAATTCACTTATCGTATATGCGAAGACTTCTGTTACATTTTATATATTTATTAATTTTTCGTTATCTCTTATTCAAAAGGAATACTATATACTAATATATGTGATTGTAGAAATTGATGATTCTGGTAGCACTGTAACAAGTTTTATTATAGCGATAGTGCGATGACAAAAAAAAAGGTCAAAAGCAAAGACTGTGGGCCACTCTCAAAAATGGAAAAAACAAGACAATCCTTAAAAGTAAAAGGGGATTAATATGTCAACATGTCAGTAATAAAAACAATTTTATTATTTGTTTATTAAAGTGTTTAAAATAAAAATAAATTATTTTTGACGCGATCATCTTGTTCTTCGACTAAGTTTTTTTTTGAATACATTCAATCTTAAATGAATCAATGAATTAACATGAAAGAATAGTATCTTAAACTAACATACATATCTAATTAATGTGTTAATTTCGTCTTGATTCCAGAAGTCAGAACAAAATCGAAATTTTCCTGTGATAAATTACAAAGGTTGAAGCAATCTGAAATAAAATTCTTCAAAACCAAACAAACTGTGAGATATATGTATTATCAGTGCCATTGAAAAAAGTATGAAGTTTATCTTTTATGATAACTTCAAGTTCAACATATATCATTTGCTCGAAAATTAAGGAATGTTGTTAATCTAAATATCTAAAGATAAGATAGTATATAATCTTTTTTTGTTCGCTTTGTCTTCGTAGACGAATGTGATAATCATATTCGTGACTCTTTTCTATATATAGATAGTTGTGTATTGGTTTTCTGGTGCATTTAAGAATCAGTTGGTAACTTAAATGAAATAAAAATAAAAATTAATTATAAAATGAATTTTATGATATCTATAAAGATAGAAAAAGTTCGAACTTTGTCAGAGTTCAGGTTGTGATAAACTGTTGATATTTTAAACTAAAAATAATTCAAATCTGTTAATTCTTTTTGTCTGTTGGATGCTTTGTTTTCTTTCAAAGGTCAAATGAACTTTTTTGTATAAGTAACCAATAAGAATGACAATTATTTGAAATAGGTCAAGAACATAGAGACCTGACTGATCTCTAACAGATTTCCTTCCATTCTTTCTTTCTCTCTCTCTCTCTTTCTTGTCTGAAGTGCCGAATAAATAAAGCTGATGAACAAGAAAGAACAAATGTGAGCAAGAGTATATAAACAGATGTTATTAGACAGAAATATCTGAGAAAAGTAGTGTTAATCTTAGTTTACTGAGCTTTGATTATGTTTTAAAACATTATTCTCTTAAAAAATAAAACTGTGAGGTAACACATGAGAAGATGTTGAAAATGATTTATTGAATAATAATAGTTATTTTAGATTATTTTCTTAAATATCTTTCAAGATGTCTTCTTCAAATACCACTAATGATCTTGCTAGTGCTGTGAGTAATGTTACACAGAAAACGATCATGTTCACCCGATATTGGTGTATGACAATGTTTATTCTTGGTTTGATTGGACATTCGTTAAATGTCTGTATATTCACCCGGCCTGCACTTCGATTGAATCCATGTGCTAGATATTTTATGGCATCAGCCATTGCTGGTTATGGTGTTATATTTGGTGTTCTACCAGTGCGTCTTTTACAATTTGGGTACAGTCGAAGTTTATTTCTTTCTTCAGTGACAATGTGCAAAATGTTGACATTTTTATTTTCTTGGGCAAGGTAATTTATTAATATTTTGATAATAGATGATCATCAAATTAGCTTTGATTATTACTATATTTTTTTGTTTTGTAGAATTTTACCCTGTTGGTTTATAGGTTTAGCTTCTATTGATCGGTAACTAATAAACAATTTGAATATATATATATGATATTTGATTTTTCTATTCAAGGTTTTTATGTAGTTCACCATCTATGAGACTTCGTGGTTGGAGTTCAATTCGTGTTTTCAAATATTTGATAACACTTGCAATTTTATTTACAGGTCTTACACAAATGCCAATACTTATCTTTTTCACAATCAGTAGTCAACCAGCAATATGTCTTGGTCAACCAAATTTATTTCAAAAATTAAATGGATTTTTTATTTTAATTGTCTGGAGTTTGATTCCATCATTAACAATGTTTATATTTGGCTTTCTTACAATTCGTCATATTCAACAATCAATTCCAAGAGTCCATGATGAAAATATTATAATTCATCATCAGAAACGAACGAAATTTATTGATCGACAATTGATTCAAATGACACTTATGCAATCAATTTTATTTGGATTAACATCAGCTGCAGGAGCAATTGGTGGTACATTTAATGTACTTGATGATAATTCACGAAAAGATGCATTAGAATTGGCTAAACAAAGTTTAATTGGCAATGTGCTTTCATTCGTTGGTCTGTTTGGTCCTTGCTTAAGTTTTTATTCGTGCACATTATCAAGTCAATTGTTCCGGCATGAACTTATGATTTTACTTCATGTTCGTAAACAACATGAAGAAGGTGATGTTACAGACGCATTAACAATGCAAGAAAGAATTAACTGAACCCCTTCATTATTATTCTCATTTCTCACAGACTAAAACCTATTTTTCTGCTTTATTTATTCAAATACCTAAATAAAATATTTTAACCCACACAAATATAATTGTTTTTAATATATTCTCTCTAAGAATTTGAAGAGAATGTAAACGATATAGATTATCTGTTCTGTACTGAATATCATTTTTGAATAGTTCCCAGAAAATTATTATACGGTTTATTGAGTTGTTTGAGTGTGGGTGTGCGTGCGAGTGTTGGTAACAGAGGAATAGTTACATCCACACCCACCATCAAGATAAGATGTCTGCACAAATACAGTTTATGAGTTGCTTTCCTTTTCTCAAAAAAATTATGGCAAGCCAACAAGAAACAACATATTTTATGGATTGTAAAAATACAACACAGTCAAAAAAAAATCGCAATTCTTTTTTAAAAGATATCAAACCATGAGTTGTATTGAAACAATCGTTTCTTATCTGCTTATTTATCTTGATTCGTTTTATTAAATAATAAAGTAACTTTTTATGACTCTCTTGAGGCATGATCAAGTACCTTTTGTCAGAGAGTATCAAATATAAAATGCATATTGTAAATTTCTTGTTCTTGATCAGCTTAAGAAGCAGCAATTGTTAGTTCGTTTTTATTGTCTTCGTAAGTTGTTGCTAACAAAAGCTTTTTCTGTATAATCATCTTAATGGAATGGATTCAAGCTATGTAGCTTCTTTAGAAAAAGAAAACTCTCTCAGTCTCTGTAGATATGATTTTAGATTAGCAAAAAATAAAGTGATTTATGAATCGTGTGAATAGAATTCCTATATTCTGTCTGAAAACTTTTTTGTTCGAATACGTAGACTGTGATAGAATTTGTTCACTTTCATCGTGCAGAAATTCTTTTAGATATTTACATTTTCGACATAGACAATAGTGATTATATTTTTAGGGCAAATTCAAAGGTATACTCGTCGCTATTATCGATATTGCAATAAAAGATTCTCAGTACTTCGGTGGTATTTCATAGTTATTATGTTGCAACGAACAATGAAACACGTTCTACTCTCGTACCATGTGGACAGTAAGCAACTGGTGACTCGAGTTTGCAATGGACTAATCACACTAGGTATTCATGTTTCGATGCTTGACTACAATGGCACTAATGAGCATACTTTAGACATGTAAGTGAATTATTTTATGTTTAAAACCAAATAGAACGGAACATCTTAGTAATGTTTTCTATCAATATAATCTCTTTTTCGTCCAGTATAACTCTTCTGATGATATAGGATTACACCATATATCACGAATACATCGGTGGTGTGCTGCTTTCTCTCTCCTCAGTATGAAACCTCGGAAAGCTGTCGAAAACAATTGGAATATATGAACCAGAAAAATGTAGAAATTATTCCCTGTTTAATAACTGTGGGTTGGTCTCCGAAAAGTACCTGGCTCAAATCTTTGATTGATGGTATCAACAACATTAATTTTGGCAGTACTGATGATATTCGAATAGATCATGCTATTACTAAATTAGCCCAACGGATTGTGGATATTATCTCGGTTTCCAAAATGATGAAACCTTCAATTTCTGCCAACTTTATTATTCCACCTATTTCACAAGGTATAGTTTGTTGTCGATTTTTTCTTTGAGAGATTACTTCATTTGTGAAACACGATTGTTAATGAAAACTGAGGAGTACAGAGAGAATTATGAGCCTTCAACCTGTTCACAGACATGTTGGACATACATCGAAACCATGCCATAAATTGGGATAGACACGATAAGGACTGTCATTTACAAGTATAGCTGCTTCATCGTGTTTCATATTTAAATTCCAGAGAGATTCGTGCTAAAAAAGTGTTGAATCTGTTTATAGAGAAAAAACCAAATATTATGGTTGATTTATCTTCAAGCAAAATCATACGAGAAGGTGATCCACTTGAGCTACGTCTTGTCACCGATGGCTTGGGTGCTTACAATTGTAAATGGTGTTTTAATGAGCAAGACATCATGCTGAATAACTCGGAAACTATTTTACGCGTTGAGGATCATGACAGAATCTGCTGTCTACGTATAGAAAATTTCCAAGCACGACACGCCGGTGAATATCAAGCCATACTTTCTAATGCTACCGGTGTCATAATGAAATCAAAAAATATAATTTGTACTATGGGAAAATCTCCCCAATTCATTGTTGATGAGAATGAGCCACATATAATAGGCGTTCATGGAGAAGACTGTGTCATTCGATGCCAAATCGATGCGATTCCTGAAGCAATCGTTACATGGTATGTTTCATATTCTTTTGTAGTTAACTTTTCTTACGAACTCTGACAAAAATGAAACTGAGTTTTTGAGCAATCATAAACTTTGCCTTTATGTTTAGGACTTGTATACAAGACGATAGCACCTATTCGATTGATCAGAATCCTGATGTGGTGGACTTCAAAAACGATACTCGCACACATACTTTTACTATCAAAAAATGTGAAATAGGGGTCGATGAAGGTATCTATACATGTACAGCAACCAACGAGTATGGCAAAACCGAACAAAATTTTCATGTGGAAATTTGCGTTAAACCACGAATTCTCAATGCTACGCGACATATTCATTGCTCACTCGATGCGAAGGATGTCACTATTCTCGTTGAATGCTATGGCTATCCCGTACCAACTCCACAATGGTTCTTTACCAAAGTCTTCAATGTATATGAACCGCTTAGCGTAGAGGTGAAGACTCCATTGGCTTCTGAGAACCAAGATCAATGCATTACAATTGTGTGTACTGACCGTTTCCATAAATTGATTTTGAAAGAGATACAACAGAAACATGCAGGTTTATATGAATTAAGGTTATCGAACAAAGGCGGTGAAATCACTCATCAAATACCGTTGTCAATTAAAGGTCAGTAATGAAGAAATATTTTTTAGGGTGGGTGTATGGGTGTGAGTGGATCTGATCTTTGAAGAGAGTAATACTCACACCCACACCCACACCCCACCCTCAAGAGATCTATTAATCGAATATTTTATTTTTCATTTAATGAATAGATTATCGTATTCATTATACTGCATCTACGGGCGAAACATATAGTAGAATACTTAACGTTTCTGAAACGATAGAATCGATCGCTCAACTTGGTGCAGAATGCAGTAATTTGCTTTTTAATAACTCTGATAAAACCTTCGAAGAATTAGGAAAAACAATTGCAAATAGAGTGACCACTTCGGAGGAAACTCTATCAAAATCGAACAGTAAGACATTTAGTTTAACATGATTATGTTCATAAATCGAATCATAATAGAAATTCCTCTTCATATCAAAACTGAATCAGGACGATTCTATACAATCTACTGTGAACTATCCGACACAATCGAAACAGTGAAGAAATATGTTCATCGGATGGGTAGCAGTTCAGTCGAAAGGCTACTTTTCAATGGCAAATCACTTAGAGATACGTCAACATTGTATGCTAATAAAATTCAAGCGAGTGATTTACTAAACACAACTTCATCGAGTTCTCTATCAAATGAAACTGTAGTTGAATTTGAAAATACTTATGGTAAGCTATATATAACTACAAGTGATATTTCATAATCATATATATAATCTTCCTTTATTTTCATAGTAAATTATAGATAAATCAAACAAATGTTTCATTTTTTAAGATGAGATCTTTTTTCTTTTGTGAAACCCCCAGCAATCCTTGTTAGATGAGATGTTAAACATGAGAAAACTAGAGACCTGCAACCCCCATCCAATCCGACGACTAGTGAAATTCTATAATTTGGAAATTTTCAATTTTTGAACTAGTGTTGACATGGAGAAAGCGTATGGAACTTTTATTAAGTAATTTGTCCTTGATGAAAGCAATTCATAGAGAAGACGATCATATCTCTTTGAATACTAAACGTTGAAGAATGTACCTTGTTTTTGAAAACATTCACCGGATATCGGATACAGCTATTCGACTCCGAAATGGATCGGATATATTGTCGATTGGCCCTAGGTAAGATCCGGGTGGTAAAATCTGTACTCGTATAGGGCTCTAGACGCAATTACTTTAGTCATAGTTGAGAAACGTCAGTAATCTACTATAATAGAATAGCATACTTAAATACAATTTCTCGGTAGATTCAATTACTATCGCACACTACAATAAGCATGTGCACATGTAGATTTTAATCCAAATTTAGAAGTGCCTGCCGACTAAGTGCAAAACGAAAATGAATGGACTAGTAGTTCTCCCGATGATGATATTCTCCCCAAATTCACTTGAGATTAATATTTATCATACAAATACAAACATTTCCATTGATATAAACAAAAGTCACATTATGTTGATATCAGAAGATATGACTGAACTTATTATAATTATTTTTTAGAAGCGAGTACACCTAGCATTCACGAAACGTTACTTCCCGGTAGTACACCGTCTAACCAGACACAGTCTTCAAGGATGAAAAATGATAGCATCGTTTGGCTTGATACTTCATCGATATTTGGCATTGAAATGATACAAAAATATATTATTGATCTTCGACATATTTATCACATTGTCGAAATATTTAATGATTCTGATGCTTGTGTTGATTATATGACTAATGCTAAAGAGAATAGAATATTTTTTATTGTCAATGAGTTTGATGGACAATTTATAGTGCCCATAATGCATGATTTCGAACAACTTGATTCAATATTTGTTCTTCGTTCGGATCGATCGAATGATGAAGAATGGTCAGGGCAATACAATAAAGTAAAGGGTATTTATAATAATATAACTTTGATTCGAAAACATCTCTACGAAATTCAACATGGCAAAAATGATTCGATCGGATTCGAAATTACTAGTAGTTCAGTATCTTCATTACAAATAGATGGCAATAAAAAGAATAGACAAGAAGTCATGTTCATGTATGGCCAACTGGTTAAAGAAATTTTAACACAACTACCTTATTCAACTGCTGATGTGAATCACATGATTGAATTTTGTCTTACTCGTTATAGTGAAGATCCATTAATGATCGAAAAAATTATTGAATTTGAACGCGACTATAGACCACAATTAGCTGTTCAGTGGTATACAAAAAATATTTTTCCTTTTCAAATGGTCAATGAAGCATTACGTGTAAATGATCTATCAACATTATATGCAATGCGTGTATTTATTAAAGATGTTCATAAACAAATCGTTGAAATTTCTACAAATTTACGAGAAACTTCACTGTCAACACTTTATCGTGGTCAACGAATGTTGATTGAGGAATTTGAAAGAATCAAGAACAATCCAGGCGGATTGTTGTCAATAAGTAGCTTTTGGTCAACTAGTGTAGATGAAAATGTTGCCCAATTTTTTACAGGTAACTTTGATAACATGGTAGCAGTTATTTTTGTAATCCATATTGATTCATCTGTGCGAACCACTACTTTCTTTGCCAACATCGAAAAAGAAAGTCAATTAAATGATAATGAAAAAGAATATTTATTTACAATGGGAAGTATCTTTCGAATTGAATTAATTGAGAAAGCTGACGCGAACGATTATTGGACTGTTAATCTAAGCTTGACAAGTGATAACGATCCACAACTGACTCTTCTCACAACTTCAATTCGTTCGGCTGTAAAAAGAGATAATGAATCTCATATTTGTGGTCTTGCTATATTAATGATGCACATGGACGAGCATGAACTAGCTGCACAAATACTAGAAGAGGTAGTCAAAAGAGAAACTGACCCATTGGAGCGTATGAAAATGCATTGGACATTAGGAGTTCTATATACCAAACTCAAGAAAAGTCAGCAAGCACTCACTAACTATGACAAGGTAGTGAAGAGTCCTGCTCTTCGATTCTTATCGATTGAAATAATTTCATACCTTTATCATGGATTAGGTGAACTTTGTATCCAACTAAAAATGATTGATCTTGCTCTCATTAATATGGAAATAGCACTTTCTATCGAAGTACTTTCTGTACCTAATCATAGCGACGAACAACTCGCTCGTTATTGTAGAGACATTGCTTCTATTTATGAAATAAAAGGCTATCTCCACGATGCTTTGCCTTTTTATCGGATTGCATTCGAAAAGGCTATCAAATGTTACCCATCTCAACATCCATTAATTACTCGGTATGCTCTTGACTTAGCTAGAATTGCCAGTCTACAAGGCGAAGAGAAATACGCAGAATCGATTTTAAGCCAATATGTGCCAAACATAGAGAATTCATTGCCTCCTAATCATCCAATGCAAGTTCGATTTCATATATATACAGGATATACTCTTCTAGAGCGAGGAGATTTCTCGAGTGCTCACGCTCACTTTCAGTCCGCATTGACAATTGATCGCATGCACAAAGAAGCAAATTATCCTGGACACTTTACTATCTACTGGGCTATTGGCACAGCGTTTGGTGCAGAAGGTCGACTTGATGAAACATTTGATGCTTTTTCGACAGCTTTACGCATACAAATGGCTACTCTTCCGGCAGAAGATCCTTCTATGGCCATAACATACACGGCAATTGGAAGGGTATTCGAGACACTAGACAATATATCCGAAGCTTTATTGAACTATGAATGTGCTATGGATATTTATCTTAAACATATGCCATCAACAGATCCAGCTATTATACAAACTCAGCAGCACATCAGTCGATTGTACGAAAAATTAGATCAGTATCATCTACCGTAATCTATGTAGATTACAATTTGTAGCTCACTTCTTATGCTTCTGTCGAGTGTGGATTGTGACTATTGCTTTCGAGTGAAACTTTTCAATTTATATTATAGAGCAAATGTTTTACGCATATAACTAAATTTTTCAACGTGAAGGATGGGTGCGTATGGGTGTGGGCGAATGCGGTTTCATCTTTTCGTTCCCCTCACCCACACCCACCGTAAATTATAATTTTTCACGAAGTGCATCGAGATATTCTTGGTTCTCTTTGACTTCTGGATGATCAGGTTCGAATGTACATCGTGCAATATCGACTGCGTTCTGTGCATGTTGGATGGCTTCATCATATCGACGGAGACCGTCGAGTGCTGTTGCCATATTGCGATGAGTTACGATCAACGATGGATGTTTAGGTGGAAGAGATTTCTGTTTGATTTCAAGAGTTTTTTCAAGATACATAAGAGCTTTCGGATATTCTTTTCTTGATTGATAAATCCCACTGATATTACCGTAAGCAATGGCTAACGATGGATGACGTGCTGGAAGATGAGCAAGCTTAAGTTCAAGTGCACGTTCATAATGTTTAAGTGCTTCATCGTCTTTATTTTGTCGTTTAAGCACAAGACCGATGTTATTATAATGAGTTGCAATTTGAAGTTGATCAGGATTTGAGGCATGTAAATCAATATTTAGTGCACGTTGAAAATATTCAAAAGCAGCATTTAGATCATCTTGTTTTTTATAAATACTACCAATATTCGAGTAGGTTGAAACGAGAGAAGGATCATCCGATGATAGATAAGTAAGACTGATATCGAGAGATTGTTTGTAGTGGATAAGAGCATTTGATAAGTCACCTTTCTCTTCGTCGATGTACCCGAGTTGATGGTGACATGTGGCAGTAGTTCGTGCATTATTACCGGATGCCAAACTGAGTAGTGCTTCAGAGATTTCCTTGGCCTTGTCGAATTTACCCATCTTGATCATCAATTGACTCAATCGATGTAAACCTGTTCCTGGTCCAATCTCTATTCTAATACGTTCAGCGACCTTCTTTAATTGTTCATCATTATCACTAGTCAATGTTAGCTTCACTTGCCATACTCCATCTTCGATCTGTTCAATTTCACCAATACGAAATACGGTATGCATCGAAAAGAGTACCTCTTTTTCTACATCTGAATAATAACTGATGTTGTTTATTTGAGCAAAAGGTGTTGAAGCAAATGCTGGATTAGCTTCCATTTGAAAAAGAATTGCCTTCAAATCCGGATTATGTAATGCCATTTTGGCAAAAGAAAGAGAAACTTGTCGATCAATACTTGTCGACAGGAAATTGTTGAATGATAAAAGACCTCCTTTACTGTTTCTAATCATCTCGAATTCATTATTGAGCATACTTTGACCACGATAAACGATCAGAGAACCTTGATTTTTTGTTGCCGAATGAAGTAATTCGATTTGTTGATGTAGATCACGTATAAAAAATCCCATCTTAATAATGATCTCAATATCTTGTGTACGTAGTGCTTTGTTTAACATTGAATAAGTGAAACCTTCACGAGTGTACCACCAGATGGGTGAATGATCTTCGTACTGTTTATCGAATTCGTCGATGATCTTTAATTCGACAGTATTGTTACAATATTGAATGCGGCAAAAATCGACTAGTTCCTTCTTGACATTGGGCTCGTAGTTTAATCCGAGAAGAATCTCTTTGAGTAGTTGCGAGTACATGAACGATTGATCAAGTTCATTTACGTCTCGGTTCGACGAATAGGTAGTACTGAGAATGCTAATTGGTGTCAGATTACTACTACATTGCTGAATATCATGTTTGAGTGTATCACAAATAGGTTTGATACTCGTAAAGGTTCCTTTCACTTTACTCCACTTCTTCATCCATGACTCATCACTTGATTTTTTGTCACTCAGCACATAGATTGAATAGACCTTGGACATGGAATGAATATGAGACACGATTGCTTGGGCAAGAGAATCTGATACAATCATAAATAATTTTTCTTCTTGAATTTGAATTAAGAAATCCATACATAAATTCATATTATTGAATGTTTTTATCGTATTAACAATACTTCGAAGATTATCAATCGAATTTCGATACACGTCCTTTGTCTCATTCATATTTAC